AAAGCCATGTGCCCCAGTTGCTGGGAGCATGGAATGAGAGTGCCCGGCTGCGCTGCTCTGCCCACCTGCCCTTTGGCTGGATCCGGCAGGGCTCCCTTACTCTCTTATTTACTCAAGCGTCCGTGCTGGTTCGCCGCAAGCGGGACAACCGACTTCAGGCTGCAAGCCAAGCAGAGCTTCCATCTACATAGGCAGCACACCGGCCTCCCAGGAGCCGGGCACAAACCGGGGGGTGGGGGCGGCGGCGCTCCTGGGAAGAGAAAGCTGGGCGAGATGGGCCCATGCAACCAGATCGCTAAGCACAGAGTATGGAGCGCAGAGCTGGGTTTGCTGCCCACTGAGTCCCCAAGAGGCTCCGGGGGCCAAGAGCCCCCCTACCGTGGCTGCAACCCAGCCAAGGGATTCCCATGGCTTCCTGCCTTTGCACCCTTCACCTTCTGGGCTGGCTGCCCGGATCTGCCCACACGAGCACTTGGCAGGGCCGTCCCCAACCTGATGCCCTCCCAATGCTTGACGAGCACCTGGATCCCCTGCCCGCTGCCCGTGGCGACTGGAGCGACTGGGAGCTGCGTCCCAACATGGAGAGGACACCAGCTGGAGGACGGCAGTCCTTGCGTGTGCCTGGCAAATGCCTCGAAGAGACGCCTCTGCAACCCTCCAGCTGCATCCAGCTCTGTAGTGCCAGGGCCGTCCACGGCTCCAGCGGATGTCCCCGCTGCCATGCGCCGGGCTGCCTGGGAGTGCTTCCCGTCTCCGCTGCTGCCCTGCGCCATCTCGGCACACTCCTGCAAGGGGAAGAGGCCAGCACGGTGGTCCTCGCAGGGTGGTCCGGGAGAGCTTGCGAGTGCTGCCGCTGCTCTGCGCCTCAGAGGGCCGCTTGGTGGTTGACCCCGGCACAGGAGAACAGCCGAGGCCACAAGGGGGCGCGGACTGAGGAACCACACTGGTCTGCTGCCAAGTCACACGGTGTTCTTGGAAATGCCATTTACCATTTTGAAGAGAAAACACGTTCCTAATTCTCGTGGCCACAGTGGCACATGTGCTGGAAAACGCTCCAACACACGCCATCAGAAACACAGCCCGCCCCAGCTTTTGGAGGCTCTCGGCCAAGAGGCCCATCAGGGCCCTCCTCCCGCGGGGAGCCCACCCTCTTGCCACACTCGCTCGCTGCTCCGGCTCCCTGCCCTGGCCCCCTTTCTGCCCACTTCCTCCAACCCCAAGCAGTTGCCCCACAGTCCCATTTAAAATGCGGCTGTCCAAGGCCGGGGGCAGCGAAGCAGCTGCGCAACAGAGATAGCTGCTTCAGCGGAGCTGGCCAAGTCTGAACAGCTGAGATACGGGTGCGGGGGGAATCGCTCTCCCCGCAAGCGGCTTCCAGCAAACGCCAGCATGCCCTCCGCTGCCCCCGTCTGTGAGGTCCAGAACTCCTCCTGCATCTTCGCAGAACTTCTGCACAGGCTGACAGACGCTCTCATCCGGACGGGGACCCCGGGCAGCGTGAGTGACTGGGCGGGCTGGCGCAGCCCAGCTCTTGCACTCAAAAGTCTCACTGCCGAGCGCTGGAGCGGGAGGAACAGAAGGCAGACCCAGGAATATAGCAATGGCAGAGAGCTCTGTTGGGGGGGGGGGGTGCCCAGTGAGCAGCACAACCTTCCCCAGCTTGGTGCCCTCAGGCACGTGGGCCTGTTGGCCATGGCAACCAGCGACGCTGGAAGTCACCGTCCAGCAGGTCCGAACCATTGCTTCAACGATCACAAAGCGCTGCTGAATAGAACTGATACAGGCAGGGCAGAGCTCCGTGCCAACGAGGGCAACGCCATTCCCGCCCCCAGGCATGGGCTCTGGCCAACTTCGCCACCTCTGGCATGTCAGGATCAACAACCAGTTCCCAGTCAGTTTCGGAGTCAATGAACTGCTCCTTGCTCGCTCGCAGCCCTGTTTGCGGTTCCACAACATTTGTCGCCTCTCCTGGCAACGGCCACCTCTGAGCTGTTGCACAAGGCAGGAAAACAGGTAGTTTGGAATGGCGTTTGCGTCTCGCCTGGCAGGAGGGCGGAAGACGCAACGGCCCCCGGGGAGGACGGCCCGCGGGGTTCTTGGCAGCCCGCACACACGTGCCCAGCCTCCCAGCAACTCCCTTGCAGGGGCGGCACAGCCCACTTGCTTGTGGGGCAGAGAGGCACCAGGGCCGGGGAGCCGCCACCCACGCGCCGGACGGGGCTGCAGGCATTTGCCGCACGCGCCCACGGCAGCACTGCGTGTGCAGAGTGGAGCGGAGCTCGGCCTCTCCCGTTGCCACAGTTGGGATTGCAATTCTCCAGATTGCTGCCACCATCGCGAGGCCTGAGGCAGCACGTGCTCTTTTTCCATGCACACACGTGAGAGCTCTTTTGGCAAGGGGCATGTACATGACATGCGCGAGCCCGCCGAGCCACTCCTCAGACTTGCTTTGTGAATGATCTTGTGGGGAAATGGCACTTCGCCTGCACAGGCCTGGGAATCTTACCCTCAGGCCTGTAAGAGGGGCCAGCATCTCGCAGATGAGCAGCTGGGCTGCAGTGAAGATCAGCCCGGGTAAGGCGGCAGCCCTAAACACCCCAGAATAAACCGGGCAGACATGCATGGGAGGAGCGAGCTGCCAGTCTGTGTGCGGCTGGGCTGAGAGAGGGCTGGACTTGGAATATGACGGGGTGGCCAGACTTGCTCAAGAGAAGAGCGACATGCAGTAAATGTCCGGTGTTTAAGAGCTGCAAGTGGGTGCCCGCAGGCAGTGAGTGGAGAGCCACGAGCCGCAAAATAAACTCCGGGGCCACACGCCACCCGTAGAATATTGCATAAATGTAGAGGGCTCGCGATGTAATATAAGTACACCACCGAACCATCCGGGGCAGATCCATGCTGGAACAGCTGCATGTCACACCCTCATTCATAAGGCGGCTTGCTTCTAGGGAGGGTGCTTTGCAAAGCGCTGGCATAGGGAGCAGGGGGCGAATGGCTGCTGCTCTCGTGGTGCAGCCCTTTCAAGATTAAGCTGCTGTCACAGGCCTGGAGAGGAGCAGTTACACAGCAGTGTAGTTTTTAAACAGCTCAGCCACATGGCACAGGGACCTGGGATCCAAATGCAGCTGCTCATATTACTATCGAGATGAGCACAAAGTTATCTAAGGAGGGATCTGCAAAGGGGCATGCAGGTTAAATATAAAACTCAGGGCTGCGTTCACAGGCATCTTTAAAATGCGTTATTTCAGAACATTCCGAATTATGGACACAACAACCAAGAGCGTATGGCCGTGGGACCACAACCGTGGGGACGGCTCCATGGCACTCATGACTTCCAGGACCAGGAGCCAGGAACATGCTCGGGCTGTGCAAGTCTGATCCCGCAGCACCACCCTGGCCTTAGCCGGCCAGGGGCTGCAGGAAGCCAACAGCCCTCCCTACTCTCGCCCCCTCCCATCTGGAATTTGGTGGCACACTGCGCGGAACAGTCACTAGCCCGCTGGGTTTCCCCAAGGGGGATCCCATCCCTCAGCTCCTCACCCTAGCAGGAAAAGACACCCCCGCTCCTGCAGGGCGAAGTCAAGACCCGGCAGCAGCTGACCTAACGCCATGTCTCACCCACACTCCCCTGCACCTCTTGGAGACCAGCTGGGGGTGCGGTGCGGTGGGGCTGCCTGCATGTGCCCCCTCACATCACGCAAAGCAGGAGGCAGCCCCTACAGAGAGGAGCTCGCCTTGCCTGAACTCGGGACTCCAATGGCGGCCACAAGCGTGCTCAGCCCTCCCCTCCCGCAGCTTTGCCAGTATGAGCTCCCTCCCTCTTGCTCGTGCCCAAGAACAGGGCCGGGGTGGGGGGGCTCTCCCTGTGCAAAGGCGTAATCTGGCCACAGCATGTAATGTGTTCCAGCTGCCGACACGAGGGGGGGGCGGGGGGGAGAAGAGTCCTCTCACTTCACCGCCACGCCCAAGGGAAGCCATACACTAACCTGGGGTGCTCCCAGATGAGGCTTCTATTGTGCAATCGCCCTGCCTCGTTCATGGAATTTTACTAGGGGATCCATTTGGAGCGCTGCTGAGTTTTCCCAGCACTTTCCCCATCCTTTTTCTGGCCAGGGGAAAAAAAACCTTTAAAGGTCAAGGAAACACTCTCAAAAGCCATGTTGTGCCAGCACGAAAAGCAAGCATGGAAGTGAAGCGCAGCTACAACGGAAGGCTCTCCGTTCCGTCCAAAGCTGAAAGCCACGCAGAAAGGCACTGGACCCGGACGGCATCCAGGAAGCCGCCTCTGCTTCAAACCTGGCTGTAACCGAGATAACAAAAATAAGTCCCTGAAGACCGAAAAAGCCCCTGCGAGTGTACAGATCTAATGACCCCGCCATTCCCTCTGAACAAAAGGGACCCGTCCCTCTGCTGACAGTCCGAGCCAACCGCCACGCCATCGCTCCTTCCAGCTCGGAGCAACTGGATTGCTCCAAAGCCGCCAGTTCTGGTTGACACGTCCCTGGGACCCCAAAATCAACGGCGGCACGCGAGGTCGAGGTCGAGGCCGCTGCTCGGGGCCAGCCGCCCAGTGGCAGCCCGTGCAGGGACGCGGCCCTCGAGCCTCAGGGTGTTCGGGAGGGGGGGGACAAGCCCGGGGTGCGTCCTGGCCAACGCGGTGGACCGCCTCGCCGCCGGGCCCACGTCCCACGGAGCTGCTTTTCCGCCCGGTCACGGGACGAGCCACACTTCTGACAGCTGCCGGCGGCACCCCCGCGGAAACGGGCAAGCACGGAAAGCGACGGACCGGGCGCGGGCGCAGACTGGAGCCCTCCTGCCCAGCTGGGCCGCCGCCCTTCCCCTCCCGCCACGCCGGCCGGTCCCGAGGCTGGCCGGAGCCTCCGGGCAGCAGCCGCGGGCCGGCGGCGCCCCGCAGGCCCGCCTCCCGCCCGGAGGCCCGCGTGGCCGCCTCGCCCGCAAGCCCGCCCGCCCCGCAGGCCGCGCGCCCCGCAGGCGCCTACCTGGCCTTGAGCTCCTTGAACTCCTCGCGGACTTTGCTGAGCTCGAGCTGGAGGCGCGCGCGCTCCTTGGCCACCGAGTCGAGCGTCTTGCGGGCGTCGGCCAGCTCCGCCTCGTAGGCCGCCTTGATGCCCGTGACCTCGCGGCTCACCTCCTCCTCGGACTCGGTGATGCGCAGCCGCAGGCCCGCGTTCTCCGACTCCAGCGAGCGCACCTTGTCGATGTAGACGGCCAGGCGGTCGTTGAGCTCCTGCAGGTCCTCCTTCTCCTGCAGCCGCGTTATGCGGGCCGGCGAGAGCGGCGTGGCGCCGCCGCCACTCCGGGTGCTGCGCTTCTGGCCGGGGGTCTCCATGGCGCGGCGCGGCGGCGCTGCGGCGGCTCCTGGGAACGGTCGGGGCGCGCGCTGGCTCGTCTTGCTCGGCTGGCGGGCTGCCTCGCTCCTTCCCTCTGTCCCTGCTCCTGCCTGGCGGTCTGACTCAGCGGGGCCTTGGACCGCGGCTCAAATAGCGCCGGGAAGAGGCGGCGGCGGGGCGGGATCGAGCCCGCGCGCCCGGCCCTCTGGGGCGGCGTTAAAGGCGCAGGGCGCTCCGTTGCGCCGGCCTCGACGCGCTGCGGGTGCCGGCCGTGGCAGCTCCCGCTCCCGCGCCCCGCTCCGCAGCCCAGGCTGGGCAGCGCAGCCTTTGCGGGGCAGCCTGGAACGGCCGCCCTTCCTTCCATCAGCTTTGCGCGACAGAGGCGCTTCCAGCGGCAGCTCCCACCTTCGCCAGGCAGCGCGGTGGCGGGGTGATTCCAGGTCACGTCAAAGGGACGGCATCGACAGTGGCTGGGCAACTCGCAGTCCACACATGCTCAGGAGAACGCACACGCGCCGTTCAGCTGCCGCAGAACTGATCCGAGCACTTCTGCAACGCAGCGGCGCCGGCTTTCGGCCGCTTCCACGCAAGCCTCGCGCTGCGCTTGCCCAGATCCCGTCAAAGCCCCTTCCGTTTGTTACCATCGCCATACAGCTGATCGCCTTTTCGTCGTCGTTTGTGCCCGGCTTTCTGTCCAGAAGATGCCACGCACACATCGGATGGAAACCGGCAGAAAACGAAGGTGCTGGAACGCAACGGAGAAAAAGACCCCGAAAGGAATAAGCGCAGCGCCCAGCCCGGCAGCGAGCAGCAGCAATGCAGGTCTTCACCTACGGGCAGAAGCACGGAGGAGGCGGAGCCGTCCCAGCCTCCCACCGCAAGGGAGGAATCCCGAGCCGGGAAGCAGTCCCAGCCCGGCCTCCTCGCTCGCCCCGCCAAGGGAGCCCAGTGGCAGTGCACCGACGGGAGACCCCCAAATGGGCAGCAAGGGTTCCTTCCGGCTGGCCGGGTCCCAGCTGCTTTGGCTGCTGCTTGCAGGCTGCCAGCCAGCGGAGCTGCGGCGACGGGCTCAAGCGGTCTGGGCCGGCGCCGCTTCAGGCGAGGCGAGCCCTGCCTCCTGGCGTCACCTGCAGACCGTGTCACAGCCCGGCCCCACGGTGGCCCGCAATGCCCAGCGCCGCTCATCTGGGCAGCCGGGAACGTGACCCCTGCCATGGGAGGAGGGCACCACGAACAGCCCCAGGCCTACCCGGAGGCCTAGCAGGACCCGCCCTTGTGGCACCACCCCTCCTCCTCACCCCCCTGCCCTCCCTCCAGACCGCCAGGGGCGCCGTGGCAGCCCCACCGGGAGTGGGAACGAGAGCAAGGCAGCCTCCCGCCCAGCTTGGTGGGGGAAATGTTGGCCGCCACTTGGGCCACAGCAACAGCTACAGCCACAGCCACAGCCTCTCCGGCGAGCTGCTCTCCAGCCCTCCAGCCTGCCCATGGCTTCCATGCCACCTGGGCTTGGTCAACATCGAAACACAGAAACAAAGTGAGCCAGAAGGACCTCCCGGGCCATCGAGTCTGACCCCGGACACAAGCCGGCTCTGCTCACGCAATCCCCAACTGGTTGTCCAACCTTCCCTTGAACACCCTCACTGATGGGGCCTCCTCCACCTCCCATGGAAGCCCATCCCATATCCCAGGGGTCCTAACCACCAGGAAGTACTTTCTGCCATCCAACCTGAGCTTTGCCCCACTGGAACATGTGCTTCCCTTTTCCACAGGGGAGAGCCGGTCCCAGCCTTCCTCCACATGACATCCCTTCACATACCTGTAAGATCACATACCTCCAAGATCCCCTCGGAGCCTCCTCTCCTCCAGGCCGAGGAGACCCAGTTCCCTCAGTCTCTCCTCGCGCATCATCCCTCCCAACCCGGCGACCCTTCCTGTGACCCTGTGCTGGCCCGCTGCCAGCTTGTCTCACAGGACTCCAACACGCTTTGCCACAGGGCCTGACAAACCGGCACCGTGAGCCGTGGCCACGAGCTGGGGTGGCTTACAGACAATCTGCCACGCAGCAGACGGGGCTCAGAGGATGCAGCAGGCACTCACACACCCAGCCAGGGGCTCAGCACTGCTGGGTGAATCCAGCCGGTGTGTTTGTGTGAACCCAGTGACCAGGGCACTCGATCCTGACACTGCTCTCCCATGAAAAGCTGCTTTCTGTTGGGAACATGGGCACTTTCCATATTTACTAACTTTCCTTGCGACTTTTTCCCCTAAACAAAACCAAAAAGCCCTATGTTCCCTTCAGGAAAATTCACGCCTGTCCCGAGTCTCCGAGGCCGGTAGTTCGGAGAACCAAAGGGGTGGCCCCTGTGCCAGGAGAAGTGGGGGCCACCACCCTTGCTTTGCTTGCACCTACAGCACAGACCTGTGGGCCCCCCCACCACCATTCAAGCCCCAGGCCAAAGCCCCCTGGAAGACAGCACTGAAGGAATGCCTGCTTTCAATCCCGGAAACAACAAAAGTTCTCCGAGTGGCTCACACAAGGCAGAAAGAAAAAATACCCAACAAAGCACAGGGAAACATGTATAAAATAAATGAAAATAGTCACAAAATGTAAGCTTCCTAGGATAAAAGTACAGCATTTGCTTGGTCCTAAAAAGATAACTGTGCAGGTGCCAATGGGCCACCTTGGGGTGGGAATTCTATAAACGGAAGGATGCCACAACGACAGGGAGGGGCCTCCTAGGGCCTGAACAGGTGCGGGGAGATGTGTTTTTAAACATGGCCAGTGTAGAGGCCCCAATCCATATATGGAGCCTGACTTAGGAGTAAGGAGACTTCAACCCTCTTCCTGATGCCACAGTTTGGGACTGCAACAAGGGGCAAACATTAGAGACCCTTGTACATGCACACACGCCCGTGTGTCACCGAGCCCCATCCTTTTCCTGAGTGGGGAGTGCAGAAGCAAAGCAGGTGCAAACCCCTGGGGCCAAGGACCCAGCCCTGCAACCGGAGCCCCTTGTGGGGAGGCCGGGCCCGCAGGCAGCCGCTCTGGAGGGCAAGGCCAAGCGCTGGCAGCCTGAAAGGAGCCGTGCCCATTCGGCGAGATTAGAGCAGCCCTCCCGGCGCTTGGGCTACAACGCCCATTAGGGGAGTTGCGGAGTAGAGAGAAATTAGGCAGGATCACACCTGGGCGTCTTCCCCGCTTTTCTTTGCTTTATTCTGTTTCAAAAGCCAAAGGTCGCCATTATTGCCAGGGTGCTGGTTAAAGTCCAAAGAAGTGTGGGCTCAGTGCCCGGCAGCGAGTCGCCTTGGGGAGAAGCCACCCTTGGAATGGGGGCAGGGCGGGGGGGCAGAGCATGCTGGAGGGCTGAGTGCTCCACGGGTCCTCCCTGTGCCAGTTGCTGGGGGAGGGGGCCGCTGCTCTGTTATGCCCATGCAGGCGGTAAGAACTGCGGCTTTCTGCCAGGGCCGAGGGCCAGTCCTGTGCCCTTGGCCAAGAGCCAGCAGCACCCTCCCCCAGAGTGGCACCCAGGCAGGCAAAGAGGGTGCTCACTCCTGTTGCACCCCCCAGGGCCCTTCTCCTGCCACCAGCCCCCCTCCCCCCACCAAACCAGCTCTAAATATCTGCAGTTCTCAGGGATCTGCTCTCAAAGTTATGGCATAAGGTGCAGATACAATCGAGATATGCTAAAGACTACAAAATGTGGGGCTTTTTAAAAGATTTAACAGCATTTGATCAGGTGATGCTTAAATCAGATGAGAAAATGATTAAAAGACTATATAATTTTTTACTCGATAAGAGAATGGAAGATGAACAAGTTAGGGAAACTATGATAACGTGGGCACAAAACTTTGGATATAATATTGAATTAGAAAAATGGCAAAAGGTGTGGGAGAGAAATATTAAGGTAACATTAGCAATTTCGTATAAAGAAAACCTGCATAAAATGTTTTATAGATGGTATCTGTCACCAAATAGATTAGCTAAGATGTTTTCAAATATGTCAAATGGATGTTGGAAATGTAAATATAAATTGGGTACTTTCTATCATATGTGGTGGACTTGCGATATTTTGAAAAATATTGGATTAAAATACATAAATGGCTTGAGGAAATGTTACAAAAATCCTTAGCTTTTAAACCTGAAGTCTTCTTATTAGGCATTATACCTGTTGATATTAGTAAACAAAAAATGTATTTGATTTTACATGTAATTACTGTGGCGAGGACTGCATTTGCTCAACACTGGAAAAGTGAAGAAACACCCACCGACGAACTGATCCTAAAAAAGATCTTGGACTGTGCAGAAATGGATAGATTGACTTTGTCATTGAAGGAGAAAGAAGATACTGATTTCTATCAAACTTGGGACTCTTTTTATCATTGGCTAGAGAAACAGGACTTCATATAGATTTAAATATGTTTCTAAGTTATCATAAATGGAAAAAAAATGTGGGGGCTGACCCAGCAGGTCCGATGTTTCCGATGATTGATGTTGTTTTTAGGGGTGTTTTTGTTTGTTTGTTTTAGGGTTATTTTGAATAAAACTTATTATAAAAAGAAAGTGAAGTTAGACATGTGGTGGGTAAAAAGAAAAGAGTCCATAATGTTTACAGATACATTAAATAAACATGTGTAAAGAGAAAGGTTTTTAAAACCTGGACACACACACACCACCGAACATTCCCCGTATGAGCAACCGGGTAATAAAATGACTAGGGATCAGCACATCCCACTGAACTGCCACGCCCTGCCTGCCTCCCCTTTTATCCAAGCCCCTTAGTCCTACGTCCAGCACGCCCTCCCTCGATCTTCCTGTATCCCAGTTATCTCTTTCGAAGCGTCATATATTTACTTGTCGGGGGACAACCCTGACACCGTCACAACTGGCCGGTGTCCCTCCGCCCCCCACTCTTCCCCTGCACTGGCCCCTGCGTGGTTCCACGGTGCCCGACGGGGCACAAGCTGCTCTCCTGGTGAGGCGCATGCCTGCTCCAAGCTTCCGGGTGGCCAGCCCAGTGTGCTCCAGCCCTCCATGCATCGGGCGGGGGGGGGGGGCGTTGACTTGGCTGCAGTGGCACACCCAGCAGGGCCCCCGCCGTCACGCCTGCTCTGGGAAGGCTGCTGCC